ATGCTACATGGCCAACGGAAAAGGGCGGACACCAGCAGTGACAGACCATAAATAGAAATGCTACATGGCCAGCGGAAAAGGGTGGACACCACCAGTGACAGACCTGGGAGACAAATGAATAAATGAATAGAAATGCTGCATGGCCAGCGGAAAAGGGCGGACACCACCAGTGACAGACCTGGGGGACAAATGAGTAGAAATTCTGCATTGCCAGCGGAAAAGGGCGGACACCAGCAGTGCAGGCACCGAACCTGGGAGACAAAAGCAAAGAAATCACTTTAAAGACAAACGAATTGAACTGCTGCATGGCCAGCGGAAACGGGCGGACACCAGCAGTGACAGAAAGGGCGGACACCAGCAGCGACAGACCTGGGAGACAAATGAATACAACCGCTACGTGGCCAGCGGAAAAGGGCGGACACCACCAGTGACAGCGGACACCAGCAGCGAGACCTGCGAGACAAATGCATAGAAATGCTACATTGTTACATGGCCAACGGAAAAGGGCGGACACCAGCAGTGACAGACCATGAATAGAAGTGGTTCATGGCCAGCGGAAAAGGGTGGACACCACCAGTGACAGACCTGGGAGACAAATGAATAAATGAATAGAAATGCTGCATGGCCAGCGGAAAAGGGCGGACGCCACCAGTGACAGAGCTGGGAGACAAATGAATAGAAATGTTGCATCGCCAGCGGAAAAGGGCGGACACCAGCAGGACAGACCTGGGAGACAAATGAATAGAAATGCTACATGGCCAGCGGAAAAGGGGGGAGCCAAATGAATAGACATGCTACATGGCCAGCGTAAAAGGGCGGACACCAGCAGTGACACAAAGGGTGGACACATCTTAAGAAAGAATTGAGAACCCCTAACAGTAAACTGTTTGGGGAAAAAGAGCTGGCCACACTGACTGGCCGTGCCCCTGGACTCTGTGGCCGGCCTCTGTGGCCGTGTCTTGTCCTCCTGTTGTTCTTCTCTTGTCCTCCTCTTGTCCTCACTGACCAGCCCTGGACACGCTGACTGGCCGCGCCCCTGAACTCTGTGGCCGGGCTCTGTGACCGTGTTTTGTCCTCCTGTTGTCCTTCTCTTGTCCTGCTCTTCTATTGTCTTGTCTCGTGGCCGAACAATGCTCGCTGCTCGCCCGTTTCATGTTTTAATTTTAAGCAGCTTAATTGTTTGATATTGATTACCTCCCAGGAATCAGGGCACAT